GCTCGCTTGTAAGGCCGAAATTAGTCGGAATGAAACCACTTCCAAAAGCTTTAATACTACAAACCTCGTTCGCCATTTAAGGAACCACCACACCGCTGAATATGCAGCATTTGAAGAGAACAATCAAGCTAGGGCTAAAGCGAAAGCCAGCGGAAGAAAAGAGTCTGTCAGTGGCCCGCTGTTAGCTCTTATAAGCAATGAAAAAAGCAAAGCTACTTGGCTTTGGATGACCAGACATTTTCTATCGTTGAGGACCAGGGTTTCGGAAACTTGATGCAGCACTTAAGCCCACGATATAACATGCCGAGTCAGAGATATTTTTCAGACGTTGCATTACCGGAGTTGTTCGGCCAAGTTTCGAGGCACAACAATGTGAAGACACTCAGCTTTACAACAGACATCTGGACTTCTGATGTAAGTGTTATGTCCATGTTGAGTCTTACTGCACAATGGATTGATGTACAGTTCTTTGGGAAATCAACCATGCGAGGGTTCACGGTGTTTTACGGGACAACGCTCATAATATGAGCAAAGCACTGGATGATGCCAAGTTGAAAAGTTTACCCTGCCAAACACACACACTGCAAATCGTTGTAAACGAGGGACAGCTTGCACAGCGCAGTATTGCAGACATTGTTACAACAGGGAGGAGAATTGTTGGAGATTTTAAGCATTCACCGCTTGCCTATTCCCGCCTCCACGGCATGCAAACACAGTTAGGTCAGTCCAGGAAGCGATCGTTACAGGACGTTTCAACAAGTTGGAACAGCCCCGTTTACATGCTGCAGTCGCTGTTGGAGCAAAGACGTGCTATTGGCCTATATGCCACTGAGCACAAGTTACCAGCCACACTCACTGCACACCAGTGGGAGCTAATGGACAATGTGCTGACCATCCTTGGACCTTTTGAGGAACTCACAAAGGAGATCCGCTCATCAACAGCTACAGCAGCAGATGTCATTCCAGCCGTCACTGCATTCAAGCGGCTTCTGGAAAGGCAATCAAGCACCGACCATGGTGTGGGTACAGCCAAAGCAACTCTGCTGGATGCTGTTGATTCAGCAACATTGAGCATGAACCCCTTTACAGCTTGGCCACTATTCTTGATCCAAGGCAAGTAGCTATGAATATTTTATTTTCTGCCCATAATTACTTTTAGCCTACTACTTAAATTAAAAATGAAAAGTCCTTGATCTTTTTTGTTTATGCAACTCAAGGTACAAGAATCGCTACTTCTCAGCAGAAGTGAAGGATGGAGTGAAACTGCTCCTTTTGGCCAAACTTGCAGAGGGTGAGACCAGATGTACATCTGTGGATGAGAATCCTGCTGCAGGAACATCCTCTGAAGTGGAGCCTTCTAACATAGATGTACCTGCAGCCAAAAGGTGTAGTTTACTGTTTGAGGTACATGATGAAATCCTGAAGGAGAGCCTGGATAAGGACCAACAGCTGGCCAGCCTTTCAGCTGTACAGGTCCAGAACTACCTATCTGAAGTTCCAGGACCCATTGGCCTACTGGAGGCTCAATAAAATCATTTCCCTCGTCTTGCTCTTCTTGCCTAAACCTACAGTATCTCTCTGCCCGATGCACAAGCATTGAAAGTGAATGCCTGTTTAGCTTGGTTGGACATGTAGTAGATGAGAAAAGAAGTTGCCTGACCCCAGGCTCACACCGACTCCGGTCTTACCGTTGCGGTGCGGTGGGTGCGGCACCGCAGTGATTCCAAGTCAT